AACCTTTATTCTGCATATTAATGCCTGACATTTAATCAGAAATGCGTTTTAACAATTTTTTTAACGCAGTGACTATTTTTACGACGATTCGTGAAGATAGTTCCCAATGCTATTCTTACAAAGCGTTAGCGTCCCTCGCCGCAGGGGAAAATAAACAAGTCTTGAACTGAGCGAACCGCGACGCTAAATCTAGCCTAGGCCCAGATAAAGGTCACACAGGCTTGGTAGATGCCAGCCTATGCAGCGGGGTAGCTACGAGTGAACTACATGTACGCAGCTGGGAATAGCGTATATATTGTAGGCCTACATTCATACTTTTATAACAGCTCCCTGGTCTTGGGTGGGTGGAAGTATATATATAAAAAATGAATTTTGTAAAACACAAAAATTAGGCCTAAACATGAAAAATGTATGTGAGCCTAGGGCCTATTTATCGCCAAACGATATAGGCCTAACTGTTTGTTTTCATGTTCAAATTTGTGAATGCGAATCCCCACTCGATGGTTCCTGAAATTTTATTACCAATTATTGGTGATCCGCTAACGTTAGCGGATCACCTATTGTTATTGTCAGGATCATCATCATCTTTTTTTTATTCTTTCTTTCTCCCCTTTTCTGTTCGCACGATATCTCAAAAACTGCCACGAGTTACCGCACAATCGCTGTCAGCGAACCTTTGGCTTGGTCTGGAATAGTCATGGTAAGCTTTTCAACGCGCTCAGTGTTGCATGACGTCATCTACGTGCGATTTAGCGTTTTTACATTATCGAGCATATCAGCCTAACAAATTGCCATTTCGAAATCGTATTAAGTGAGCATTAACTTTGGGTTAATGTTGAATGTACTGTACCTTACTTTTACGCGTGCGCTTAATAACGCGCGCGCACGCATGCGTCAAAATTTCAAAATGCTTGAAATCACTTTTTGACTAAATTGGAGCACGTTTCAGGCCATTTTGAGCATTTCAAAATTTTTCATAATTTTCAACTACGCGCGCCCACTTTTACTTGCGTAGTACGTATGGAAGTTAGAAATTAGGTTTTTTTTACATAATTTGGGTTCCTGACATTGTTTCCACAGATTTCCATCCTTTTTGGTCATCTTATGGCCAATAGCAATGTCGTACGTGCGCATCAAATGTAGGTATCTTTGCGCGGATTTGGCTCCTTAGGTTGAAAGGTGACCCCCAATTTTTATTTCATATTTTGAAAGCACATAAGTTGTAAATATGATTTTATAGATCAAAATGGCTGATCGGACATTGTGACGTCATCATATTGGCATCTGAATTCAACAAAAGTGAATTATAGCTATGACGTCATTTTTGAAAATACGCATTTGAGCGTATCTCGCTTATCCTTAATTGATCGTCTTCCAACTTTGAGTAAGTTATAGCTGAGACAATTCTCTTTCATATATTTGACTTGGTTTTACATTTTGATGACGTCATCATGGTAAAAAAAATTGTTTTTTCTGACCCCCACATCTTTCTTTCCTCAAAACGTTGATGCGCCCATATCATCTTAACCATTCGTCATTTCTGAATCATATTAAGTGAGCATAATCTTCAGGTCAAGGTTGAATGTTAGGTACCTTAATTTTCCGTTCGCGCGACTTAATGTGCGCGTACGCGTGCGTCAACATTTACATGCATAAAACCATGAATATTTTTAATCACTTATAGCTCCATAGGATGAAAGGTGACCCCCAATTTTTATTACATATTATGAAAGCACATGAGTTGTAGATACGATTTTATAGATCATATTGGCTGATCGGACATTGTGACGTCATCATATTGCCATTTGAATTAAGANNTTAAGAAAAAATTGAATTTGTATTTATTTCGTTATTACTTTATATACTCCTTTGAACGTACTCGCTTATCTTGATTGATTGTCTCCCACCTGTGAGTATGTTATAGCTAAATCAATTCTCTTTCGGAAGTGTCACTTTATTTTTTATTTTGATGACGTCATCATGTTCAAAAAGAATGCTTTTTTGGAGCCTTCTCATCTTTCTTTCTTAAAAGATGTAAACACATTGAAAAAAGAGGGCGGCAGACTGAATTTCGACACTATCAGACCGATAGTTCGTATACTGTAAAGGCAAAATTCGTGTGGCATTACCAACCAACAGGGGGTTTTAAATTAAACTTGACAAGGTTTGTCAGGCACATCGTATAAGGTCTTCGTACTTGTGCGTTAACATTTTAAAATTGTTAATATCACTTTTCAGATAATTTAAAGCACGTTTCAGGTCATTTTGAATATTCCAAAACTTTCCAAAATTTACGCTCATTTCCACGCCCACAGCACGTACTGAAGCTGGAACTTATGTTTCGGTTACATGTGTTGGGTTTGTGACACTGTATTAATACTACCGTGCGCAAGGACGTTAAGACGTATGTGTACACATTCTTAAGTCTTCAAAATGCTCAAAATTACTCTTTTCCTTTAAAATTCCTTTTAAAATGCTCAAAATTACTCTTAAATAGAGCATGTTTTAGCATATAATATTTTCCAATCAGAACCGTGCGTGCTTCGTGAGGGTCAAAGTACGGCGGATCACCTAACTCGTCCTCAGTGACGAGTTCAAATCTAGTTTTTATTTGATAATATTACAGTTTATTAATTGGTGTTTTTCTCTTTTTACAGAAACAATGCAAATGCAAGTCGATTGGTTTGACTCTGAGACACATATTGTCATTGTTGCGTTTCCCGATATTATTTGACCATGTTGTTTAAAATGCTAATAAAATGGAGATTTATGAAATTAGCATGTCATTTGTTTTGCATATGATTGTTTTTTTGTTTGCTGCCTTTCCATATCATGTTTATAATATTAAATATAGGCCTATGTATAAATAAAAATAAAATATAGGCCTACTGTGATTTGATGAAGTAGGGCAGCGCCAGGAATTCCCGACGAAGGGTCTAAGCTCCCCGATAAAATTTGTAGAATTTTTTTCTTTATTCAAAAATAACATTTTGTGTTAATTATAGGATCTTTTTATCCTGTCAAAAGTACCAGCCCCCAGTCCGGGAAGAGCTGGCACCACCACTGCAACCCATACCATCGTAATTACGATATACAATACCTCGCACATACCGTAGCACTCCCCACACTACACAGTTTTTAATCCTTACAATTTGACAGCTTATTAAGGCATGCTTAAATCGTAATTTCGGCGCTCGAGATTTTATTTTTCCCCAACGACCTTGCTGGAAATTCCCTGACAGGGGGTCCAAATATCCTGGACGGAAGCCCTTTGACCCTCTGGGCCCCGCTAGCGCTGCCCCTTTGATAAAGGGGATGGACTATTAAAGTTCCCCAAAAGGTTCCCACGCCTGTTCCAACGGTACTCTTTAGGTAAAGCTCAAACAAGTTTTGTACTTCCTTCTTTTATTTCCATTTTGGGATACATAGGTAGGCTGATTACTGTTTAAAATACACCAATAATACACACATGTTTATTAAAACTGTAAATTAACTCTGATGAGGCCTATTACCTGTACTAATTGCTTGGATCATGTACTATAAAAATACTGTATTCCACAGTATTTTTGAGGGTGAAGCAGACACATTTTTGCACGCCAGCTTCAGGAAAGTGGGTGCACTTCCACAGGGTAGATGCTAAACATAGACGACTGGCTATTTTTAGATGCAACGCATGTAGTGGTAGTGAACATGTCGTACGTGCGTTTACCTAATAATTATTAATTATTGTCACAAGTATTGAAGTACACGATGGCGTGTACTTCAATACTTGTGTATGTATTATACTTTCTTATTGCATATAGGCCCTATTTTACAAAAATCAGATAGCCTATCAATGCATATTTGATTGAACAAATTAATTCAATATTGTAACAAACACATTGGCCTTTATTATGAAGCATTCATAAATTGAAAAGTTACTACTGTATAAAAAAAAATGTACTGTATATGTCCGATCGCACTTCACTTCTGGGACTGCAAGAAAAGAACATAGTTTTCAATACAGAACACACAGTACTATTTATTTATTTCTTGTTTAACCTGGTTTAACTCCGTTAAAACCAACTGTTCCTTATGATCAGGATAGATACAGTACTGTTTCATACTAAAATGAAAACATATGATTAGAACATTAAGGTAATGGAAATGCAACAAACAAGAAAACAAACGTCTGACAAACAATAACTTTTATCACTGATCTCAAACCAACCGACTTACATTTGCGTTGTTTCTGTAAAAGAGAAAAATAACACCAATTAATAAACTGTAATATCAGTAATCAAATAAAAATAATTGGTAATGAATTTCCAGGAATACCCGCATTCACAAAATTAAACATCGAACAATCTTGTAGGCTTTTTGACCGTTAAGCCTATATATAGTTTGGGGGAGGCCCAGGCTACACATTAATTAATTTTTCATGTTTAATTTTTGTGTTTTACAAAATTGAAAAATTCATGTTTTATACTGCCACCCCAGACCAGGGAGCATATACAAGTATGAAAGCCTACAATGTAGGCCTACGCTATTCCTAGCTGCGTACATGTAGTTCACTCCTAGCTCTTCCGCTACATAGGCTGTCATCTACCAAGCCAGTTCAAGACTTTTTTATTTTTCCCCGCGATGAGGGACGCTATCACGCATCGCGCATGTGCTAGTGACCATCGTAAGAATAGCATTGGGAGCTGTCTTCAGGACTCGTAAAAATAGTCACAGGCAGTGCAAACCCACTGTGTGAAGACGTGACCAAAACATTGAAGTCACGGTTTTAACATACCTAAATTATACAGAGTTGAAGCATCCAACTATCCCAATAAAATTTTATTTTTATTTTCATTCCGCCCTCCTCTGATGATCTTTAAAAAAAATAAGTATGCGAAACAAGGAATAAAAAAGTGTCGCCCAGAGGTACAGTAAAGCCATGGATATTGCATTTTAAGATTGAATAAACATTTAAAATGAAAGACAAAAATAATTTTGTTTTATATTTGTATTTACAGGCCAGATGAGTTTTTTGAATGCGATCAGCCAAAAAGTATAGAAGAAGGAAATGAAACAACAGAAGATGGTGGTTGTAAACAGGTATATAAACTATCCAAACAATGTTGAATCTAAGGAATCATGTAGTGTAGTGAAACATGATATATAGTGAATAAAACAGACACTCCCCCCATTTTAAATTTTGGAATTGCAAATTTGCGTACTACAGGGTATACTAATAATGGTATCAGATTGGCAAAATACTGTAAAGCTTGTCATATATTCCCTTCCTGTTTTATAATTCATAGAGTAAAGCCCCTTTTTCACCAAGTTTTTAAATGTTCAAAAGTCTGTATCTTATTAACCATTCCCAATTTTTTCATAAAACACATTTTAGTGCTTATAGGAAAATCAGTTACAGCATATAAGACTTTATTTCCCTCCAGAACCCGACTTGAAATAAGACTAAAAAAGGGATATGACTTTTTCCCCCCACCCCACAATTTCAGATGGCCATCTTCTAAACTTCGAAATGGCAAGTTAAACTACATGCTAAAACAAACTAAAAATATATAATTCACCCTTTATACAGACATCCAATTTAGCAACAATATGTTGTTAATTTATTTGGAATGAAAATTAATTTTATGATTGTTTTTATTTTTAAGTATGGAAAAGTGAAATATCAAGATGTTGAAACAACTAAAGTGATATGTCGCCCTCTAGCAGGTATCCAATGCTATGGATCTAGGGAATTCAACCAAACTGTACCTTGTGTAAAGTAAGTCTACTGTGTATTCAATATAGAAAATTAAATTCTATAATTAGAAATTAGTTATGAAACCAACCAAGGGAAAAAGTGCCAGTAAGCTAAATGTTCAACTTACCGATTTGATTACCAAATGTGCTGGAACAGCAACTCACTTAACGCAACTCCCAATTTTTATTTTTTTTAAATTTATTTATTTTATTTATTTATTTATTTTTTTTTGGTGGGTTGGGGAAGGTTAAGTAGTCCTGCCATTTACATTCTTTAATATATTCAGGTGGAATATATAATATCATTAAAATTATTTGCAGAAAGAACTTTACAATGATTTCTTACTGTCAGTGGTTGCTAAATAATCCAGAAAAGAATGGCTAACAACAATAATAATTGTTTGTTTTGGGCAGATAATAGTATACAAATATTGACTGCTCTTGAGGGGAATAGTGAAGTCTATTGCCCCGAGGTGATGTGGAGACCTTAGTCTACATTCTCCACATCACCGAGAGGCTATAGATTTCACTGTTCCCCGAATCAATATTTGTTTTATATACCTCATAAATAGATTCTACGAGACCTAAAAAGTAATGAAGATAGTACACACCAAGGGCCTGTCTCTCTCAGCATCGTAGAGGTCGTGTCTCCTTTACCGTTCGTGCAAGTCATAAATCTAGAAATTGCACATCGTGCAACAGGTCAAAAAAGTACTGTCAATTAGGGTGATAGTACTTTCTATTGCACACTTCTTAACCAATCAGATGCCTAGAATCTATGTATGCAGTATACACTTGATAGCTCATCATGCAGTAATACAAAATTAAATGAAAACATTACAATTTGCAGAATCACTTGACCAGGAAACCCTTGTTGCTCCACACATAACTAAGCAGGGGCAGATGCAGACGGTGAGATCGCACCCCCCACCCTAAATTGCATTAAAAAAAATAATTCTTGCATTGTATTGTTGATATGAATGTAGGTCTTGTACCAGTAAGATTTTTAGTGTATGAGAGTGCAATTTCCAGGGCACATACAGGACCATATTCTCCAAATGTTCCCACCTCAGCCCCAATCATGGTGGGGCTGAGGTGCCCTTGACTCCCACGCACCCCCTACTGCCAAATTCTGCATTTGCTCCAGCTATGAGTTCCTCTAGATTACTGTTGAATAGTATTATTAGCTCTGTCCTTACAGCAATATTAACTTGCATGACTTAAATCAAATAACTTCATTAATTTTGTTATGTATTATTGATACATTGAATTTTATTCTGTCTTCGTTGTATTTTTTGACCTAAAAAATTACAAATAATAAAATAGTTTTATTTTACTTTAAATTTCAGATATGATAATCATTATTTTGTGTCCACTTTACTGTTTTCAATTTTATTGGGTTTCTTTGGAGTTGATCGCTTCTGTTTAGGGCACGTTGGAACTGCTGTTGCCAAACTACTAACCCTAGGTGGACTTGGTATCTGGTGGGTTGTGGACATAATTCTTTTAGTGACCGGTCAACTACGACCAGCAGATGATTATAGTTGGAGCCCATATTATTGACCAAAGTGTGTTGTATCAGTGCCAGCTGTAGTATTAATATCGAAGGGCAACAATCTATACACGTTCAATAATGGAATGCCCAGAATCAAGGAGAAACTGTTATTTTCGGAGATGTTAAAGTGTATCTTGCAGTCAAAATCGAAGAGTACCACACAAACAATTCAAGAACCAAATATTAGCTAAGCAGATTAGACACCAAATTGTATTTTCTACTAGCTGTTATTTTAAGTGTGGCTGCTCTCCACACATTGCAGAATTTGACAAAATATTCATTAAAAAAAAGTATGAATGAGCCTTCCTATTTAATGAACTATATTTTGAGTGTTTAATAATTATAATATGTAACTTGTTAAATTTTGATTTTGATTTATCTGTTTACTTTCTTAATCAACTATATTGACTTAAGATAGATGACTTTTTAATAATGAAAGTAAATTTAAGAAAAAGATTATGAATTGTGCAATGAACTTTGTTTACAAATTCTGAAATTATATTGTACAGTAATAAAGGCCAAAAAAAGCATGTGTTGCCAAGTTCATCTAACAATTTTTTCCTCTGTATCATCAAAGAAAAATTAATACAGTGTTCGAATAAAGGACATAATAATACATTGTGTAGCATAGCTCTCAACGAATGTAGACTTATAAATAAATGAATAAAGAAATTGTGTAATAAAATGCTTTTGATGGGATTCGAACTGCGACCTCTCACTGTCAAGGCGAGTGTCATAATCATTTGACCACAGAGACTTCATGGTTGAACAGATTCAAATACCGCCAGATACACTCTTTTAAGACAAGTTACGGCTAGAAACAAATAATTGCATGTATAAATCAAGATAGCCGTTAATACTGTTAAATTATTTATAAATCATCAAAGAAGGGTAAAATACAGCGTTTGAATAAAGGACATAATAATACATCGTGTAGCATAGCTCTCAACGAACGGAGTCCTATAAATAAATGAATAAAGAAATTGTGTAATAAAATTCCTCTGACAGGATTCAAACCTGCCTCATAACCATCAGACAACAGAGGCTTCAGGTCGATTGTGTCATATATACGGCGTATATAAATAGTGTGTTTTATATTGGATTCCATATATCTTGTTGCTCGCTGTTTCATTTTGTTTGTAGCTGAAAAGAACCTGGGTGGAGATAGAAAGACAGGGGAAGAAGAATGGAGTAAGAAAGTAAAGAAAAGAAGGCTGATATGGTATGGGCACCTGCTCCGCTTAGATGAACACACTCCAGCTAGACTGGCATACCACGAAGCAGAGCGAAAGGTAAAACGTCCGCAGGGGTGGCTGACAACAACATGGATGGCCAACATCAAGAAGGAAACCAGATTTGTCACACACGGGTCTATGCACGCACTTGCTAAAAAACGCACTGAATGGCGGAAATTAGTGAAATGCGCGATGTCTAATGTGATGGAACATCACGTCCTTATTAAACACTGTATATGTACCTTTGATAATTTATCCTGTAGTAATATATATATATATGTGTGGGTGTGTGTGTTGTATAAACATACTGTATGTAAGAAATGTAACATTTTCTGAAAAAATATGTGTATGTTTATAATCTTTACTTGACATTTGAAACCTTAACCATAATATTTTAGCCATATTGTTTCCATTTTACCAATCAGAAATATGGACTTATTAAATTGGAATAATAATAGTTAGACCTACAGTAGGCCTTTACTAAGGAGCATGAATTGAAAATGTCATTGTGGTTAAGAGCTATCGAAATACTTTAAATATTTTTAAGACTTGTTTGTATAGTATGATAAATGATATTTTGAACCGATAGTAAATGATCGTACGATACAAATTTCAACCTGTGGAAAAATACACTTGCATGCTCTATGACAACACACACACACACACGGGTCGTAATATCTATCTATCTATGTCTATCTATACTGTATATTAATTCTACTAAGGCCCTAGTGTAAGTTCACCTGTCTCCTCTGAAACTGCTGGAAGGAATGTGCTCATATCTCATACTCTGGGGTTTCTATAAGTCACGACCACATTCTGCTACTTTTATAGGCTGGATATTGGATATAACAAAGAAAAAACAGCAAAAAAAAAACAAAAAACCGAAAATCAGTACCTGTTGCGCGAGTTGTTTACGTCACGTAAATACAGTACCCCATCGATTTTGTACTGCAGTGCTTAGGTCTAAAAAAAAAAACACGGCAGGCCGTAAAAGAATACAGTAGTCTCTATTTTGCAGCTTTATTACGTCATCACGCAGTGCTTCTCTCATCACATGTCAACAAAATGAGTGAGCAGCATGTTCCTGTACCACTTACGATCGAGTACCCATTGCATTAAGCTCAAAACATCAGCAATAAATAGCATGTTTTAGAAATCGAACAAGTAAAGATAATGATAAGCCTCGGCACAAGCAAGCTCGGACTAATCATACTGTGCTAGCCCAGCCCAATTGGCCTATCCTATGATGAGAGGTAGACCTAGGTTCAGGTTTAGTTTAGTTAGCTGGGCCTACCTTCTCTCTCGAAACTGGGTCGGATCAATATGGCTTTCTTCTGCAATGCCATAGTGCATTAAGTTTAAGTTTAGGGTGAAGCCAGCTACACCAATCAATACTTCGAATTTACGTAAACGCGTCTCAGTAATGCATGCATCCATCTATTTTATTCAGAGAAACATTTCTCTCGTGCTAAACTAGGCTAGGCCTTCTGTATTTACAGTATGCTGTATTTTTTACGTACAAGAGGGTAGCCCTACTCCAGTGTAGGCTGCATAATACAACAGGCCCGGATCCAGTAGGTGAGAGGGAGTGCAAACAGTGGAAGGGGAGGGAACGTGCCCGCATCGTTTTGCCACTCATTTTTTTTTATTTTATTTTAGTGCAATGTTATGTGCTACTCGCTTATTTATTCTGAAACTGTTCTGCCCCCCCCCCCTTTGAAAAATTCTTGATCCACCCTTGATCAAACTGCACAATAATAAAAGGCCTATTCATTTTGTTGTGCTGAAAATGGCAAAGCAGAGGGAAGCGGTCAGGCTGGTCCGATTATGACCTGCCAAATATAATCACGAATCGTTTGTATGCAAATTGTCCTTTTAATACATTATCTATTTTTTAAACAAAATTACAGTATGGCCTATCAGATTACCTCGATGTTAAAATCATGGAGGGCTGGTTCCTTCCTCCATGTCTACACCACGCCAGTATACATACACACCCATACCTTACCGTTCTTCTTCGGGCCAAGTGCCCCATAAGCCTGCAAGATGTGCTCTCCTCTCAGTTCTAGTTCTGGCAATCGGTCTTGCTTCATTCCAAGATCTCCATTCTAGCATTATTCTCTCCTCCACCGTTCGCCTCCAAGTTGTTCTAGGGCATCCCACTTTTCGTTTTCCTTCAGGCTTCCATGAAATAACAGTCATCCAGTGACTTTCAGGATTCATCCTTAGCACGTGGCCGATCCACTTCCATCTTCTTGCTTTTACTTCCTCACTAGGGAGTAGTTCAGCATTAGTAATGACATATGGTCATCTTAAGCATTTTAATTGGAATACAGTATGTCAAGCTTCTTTTCATCTTCATTTATCTTCCATGTTTCGCATTCATAGAGTAGTACAGATTTGACTAAGAGTATTAAATATCTTGATTTTGGTTTTCAGTAGGTATTCGTTAGATTTCCATATTGTTTCAGCTTCATAGTGGCACTTAGTAAGGTATTTGTCGACCTCATTAAGTTGATGTCCCTCAATCTCTATTCTGCTGCTGTTGTTGCTATTTATCCTAGTACTTCAGTTTTCTTCTTATTTATCTTTAGCCCAGTTTTTGCAGCAAAGTCATTTAGTTTTGTTGCCTTTGTCTGCATATGTTAAATACGAGATGACATAAGTGCAATGCCGTCCACAAAGTCTAAATCCTCATGTTTTGTCGTAAACTTCCACCTTATCCTTGTTTTGCTACCGTCAGTTGCTTTCTTGAATGTGAATCATCCTCAACACAGTCGCACTGTAGGCATGAGCTTAGCATTTTCCATATACATAATCTTGTTCTAGTTGGAATAATTCTATGTAATAATTTAAAATTTATTTGTTTGAGTTTGTTTCCTCTAATCATTTTTTTCTTTTCCAAGTTAGCATTTAATCAACTGTAGTATTAAAATATAATTCCCATTTTATTTGACATTTCGATTCTATACCTTTTATTTCGATAAAATAATTATACGTTTGTTTGCACTTTGTATTACACAGGTTTTTAACAAGCTATTGTTTTTTTGGTTTTTTTTTGCATTCTCATTAATTGTGAAAAAATACATATTTCTATTCATGTAAAATGGCCTTTAGCACTTGTGATATTCTGATATCCAATTTGAATTAGTCAACATTTCTATTAATTCGTGCGATTGAACAAATGTATTACCAAGTACAATATCTTTGATTTTTATTATACCTGATCTTACCCAGTTTCTACACAATAGTGATAATTCATTGTAGTTATCATTTATTTCCCCAAATATTTTGTTCTAGTATTTCATTATAGCATGTTGGGTTTCATTATAATTTCGTTAAAACTAGTTAACGCCTGTAACACGCCTAAATAAAAACTAGGAATACTGTCACATTTTTATTTTATTTTTTTTACATTTAAGTGTGACATAGTTCCAATAACACATTGTGGGCCAATTCTATTAAAATACATAGACGGTAAGAATTTCCACTAGACGTTTCATCATTAAAAAGACGTCTAGCCCATGATGTTTTAAATTATTGCACTTGAGATATGAAATTGGGTGCTTTTATACCACCATGTTCATACTCGTTTATAAGATGTTTTTTTTTTCCCCCGTTTTTTTATCCAACAAAAAAAAACCATTGAAAATATTGTCGACTGTTTTTGAGACAAATGCAGGCGTTTCTAAAATACTAGCATTGTATACAAGCTTTGCTAATGCTAATTGTTGTAAAATTATAACCTTCTAAATAAAATTCATTTTACGCCATAAATTAAGGATATATTTTAAGGCTTCAATTTTTTCATACCGTTTTTTAGTTCCTATGCATGTAATGCAATAGGAACTATTGTAATCACTCTTGCTATTTCCTATGTTTTTTATTGTGTGTAGTGTGTATGTGTGTGTGTAGACATTTATGCAAATGCGCATGCGTCAAAGAAATGTTTTCCGACATTTTGTTTTACATCGCGATGCCAAGATCGATGTGAAGTTTCTGCAGAGTTCAGTCAGGGCTCACACTAACCAACCGGAATGTCGGCATGGATGAAACTATTTTGGTTTTACGGCAAAAAAATCATCTGCTGTAGGCATAGGTATTTTGAAGAAGGCCTAAAATAAAACTAAAATGTTTTAATACTTGCTGAAATAAGTGAGCACTTTTGTTTTATATACCATGGGGTGTATATATAAAAATATATTGTATGTCAACATATAAAGTAAATTAGAATATGGATACTAAAAATATATGACTTAATCAATTAGCATATAAGATACATCATACAAAACTCACTTAGAAGATGCACAAAATCAAACAGGGTATACTATAATGTATTAAACTGCAAGGCGGGTGGCTTTTGATATGGAACCGCATCTAATGGTGGGAAGATTGAAAGACACTTCTAAGCACACCTTCACGATAAAACAACCCTGGGCTTAGTAGGAGCATTAGTAAAACACGTCTGTTCTTGACGACAGCAACAGACAGAATGCCTGTGAATATGGCTTCTGCATATGAAAGTCTGTATGTATGAATGTGTGTATGTATATGTGTATGCATATATGGGTGTACGTGTGTATGTATGTATGTATATATATATATATATACACAATGTCGCTGCGCCATTCTCCATATTATACTAATAATAGATAAAAATGTTGGATAAGTGAGCACTTTTGTTTTATAATCACATATCACTCTTATGGTATCTGGTACAGATGGGGTGGTTATATAAAAATATATTGTGTCAACATATTACAGTACTGACTACAGAACATTCGACATTACTCGCATGTATTGTGCGTGTGTTTCACGAGTGAAAAGCGAGTG